GAAGGCCGCACCCCCTAGCGGCAGAAGCTCGTACTACATCCGGTTCGCCCTCTATTGACACAGTCTTGAAACTTTCCGATCGCACCTCGTATCATAAGAAATATGATTGGATTCCGTGTATATGTCAGTTTTTAGACAAACCATTTACTGTTTATCGACACTAATTAAACAAAACACAATCGGATGCGACTTTCTTTTGACAAAACCAGAAAAAAATCGACTGTATTTTCACTCCTAAGACAAACGTCGAAGTGAAACCGGGAATTCGTGAAGAACGCGAGATGTGCAGGTCTGGAAGTCTTGCGAAATGGCCTGATAAGCCTTACAAGTTCTGCCCGGGAGGACTTTTTTATTTTTCAAGAAGGAGAGCAGACAAATAAATCTGAAACAGGGCACAGACGGAGGGACAGACATTTGCTCGAGGCAAACGAAGAGACCTTCATTAACTAATTACGAAGGCCAGCTCCATCTCCGACTCCGCTCGCGTCTGGAGTACCTTCGTCTGTTTCCCTAGGGAATTCTGGGAACTGCAATGCTTCGTGGCAGCAAGTTTCTTGCGGCCTGGGGAAACTTGAAGGAACACTCAGTGCAAGTGGAAAACGACCCGGGACTCAGGGGGAGGCAGGAACAGAGAAAGAAATGAGCACACAAACCAAGAGACAGGGAGAGAAGAAATGAAAATACTTTTTTGTGGACGGGGGCGACGAGTTTCGGGTTTTAATACTGCGCATTTCCACAAAACTTCAGAAAGTACGTACGTGAACAAGCTTACTTTATGTGGTAAATCACATGCGAACACATGAAGAGACGATTTTAAAGCCAAATTTCACGTGTTTTTGCATGATTCTCGTGAAATAAACAAATGTTGCGGGTACATTCCATATTCCTGATTTCAGGTAGTGGGAGAAGCTTCTTCTATCAGACCCCAAAGAACAGGTATTTTCACCTGAAGATGGAAGCAGATACAGCTCCCGAAACGCATACTATCGTTACAGCCCGATTTATGTTATGGACAAGACTGTACACAGCTGAGGTTTACGTAAGAAATTATTTCAATGGTACATACAAAACTTGATGTTGCAAGTCTGGGAGACATTAAATGTGGTTCCATCGTAAGAGCCCCACTAAATTGACGTCAGTACCTAAGAGTCATAGATGCCAACACTGTAAAAAGAAATTACGCCGTATCTCTGTGAGTAGGAAGTCAATAAAACCATACAAAGAATAGATTTTTAGCTTAACAAAAATGTACGTAAGAGGTGCGATCAGAAAGTTTCGCGACTGCGCCTATAAAAACCCGTACACTTATCTCAGGTATTAAATTCATCCATCACCCTCGAAGTAGTTCCCCTGGGAGTGAACACAACGATCCCAGCGCCGCTGCCACGCATGGAAGCATCCCTGGAAATCTTTCTTTGTCAGCCTGTCAAGCACCATCTGCGATTCTGCCTGAATCTCTTCTATCGTCTCAAATCTCCTTCCCTTTAGCT